TTTCATCCTTGGATCCATTTTTCTCTGTAGCGCCCTTGCTACAAGCTGAGAATGTCATCTTTCTTAATTGTTTTTGTTAGGTAGGTGAATTCAAAGTAAACTCAGACAGAGTGAAAATAGGTGAAAATGTTCCTTCAAAAATCACCAAAACAAGGGAGAGGCAACTGAGCAATATAATTTTTAGAGTCACATGTTTATTGAAAGGTTAGAGACAATGAGACTGATATAAGCGCTCCACTGATAAAGAAACTCAAACACTGGCTGTAGAATGAACGAGAAAATCAAATACTGCATGAAGAGTAGCCAAGTGTGGCATGAAGAATAGTTTTCGATGTTATTCTATAACTAGCAAGTGCATTTGTTTGCTGGTAAATTGCAAACAGGAAACTTTTAATATTCAAACTAACTACTCTGCATTGCAAAATTCAGCTTTTAACATGAACAGAACCAGCTGCAATAAGTTCAAAACATATTTTGTCAGAATATCTACATTGTAAACAAATCAAAATAATTTTTCAAGGGAAGATGACTGCATTATCTTTTAATTTTTATAAGTTATTGTTAAGATTTCTCTTAATGGTTCAAAAAACAGTCAGTGATGAAGAAAGTTATTAACACATGTAAATTTGTGTCTTATAAGGCCATCAACACACTCCATTCAGACAGCCAATGAGCTTCCAGAATTCCACACAAAGCATGAAGTTTGAATATTAATTTCATTAATATTATTTTACAAGGGTAGCAAAAGGGGTATCTTGGGATTTTTGGTTTTAAAAGTGAGACTTTTTCTATTATTTCTTTTTTGAGTTTTTTTTAAGGTTTGTTTTTGCCATCTGGCAACTGTAAAGTTTTTGTTTAGTCACCCTTTACACCAAGTCTACAAGAGGTTATGTCCAGCTGGAGCCATCATGTTCCATGCATTTCTGTCATGTTTCTTTCACTGATCAGTCAATTGTCAAAACACCATATGATAATCAAAATCTGCATAATAAGGTTATATTTGCTAAATGTCCTTGCCAGAAGATGAAAAATCCTTTTTGGTAATGTTTTCATGTTTTTTTTTCAGTTATGTGTCAGGCAGCTCCAAAACAAGGGACTTACAACGTTTGTTGAAGACTACCTTCTATGGCACCATTTTGGCAAAAAGACAAAAGAAGAAAACTTGGATCTGGTCCATGCCTTCAAGCAAAGCATTCACTCTGCACTATCTCCTCGCAACTTGGCTCTTTTTATTAACTCTTACTTGCATCGCTCAGACCTTCAAATGCAACGCCCTGACAAGACCAGCGCCAAGAAAGTCCCTGCTCTGAAGTCCGCAGTTTTACTGATAACAGGAGATAACTCTCCGCACCAAGATGACGTAGTGAATACCAACTCCAGGCTTGATCCAGAGATCTCTAACTACTTCAAAGTGTCTGAGAGTGGAGGCATGCCTTTAGAAGAACAGCCACATAAAGTGGCAACTTCACTGATTCTGTTTCTCCAAGGACTGGGTTACTGTAAGTTACTAATACTATATGCCTTGTACAGTGAAACCCCGATATATAGAGGATATTTCATGGCCGCGCGGACAGACAAAGTTTCTCTTCGAGTGTTGAAAAATATTTCACTCGTTCGCTGCGCTCACTCGTGAAATATTTTTTTCAACACTAGAAGAGAAATTTCGTATCTCCAAGCAACCATGTAATATTCTATTAATTTTATTATATAAACACCAATGAAATGCCAAACCATTTTACTTTAAAAGTTTTTCGGTCTGAAAGCTGCAGTTTATTATGAAGCCATAGCAATGGTGATATTTTCACATGTGAAGATAACATGTTATTTTCACATGTGAAGATATCAAGTTTTCGTGCGAAAACTCACTTGGTATTTCATTGGTGTTTATATAATAAAATGATGTTCCTGGTATAACTGTGAATAATCTACATCCCGGCAAAAGTTATAGCAAAATGTGTGGGACAGGATTCCGATACAACCATCTTCGAAATAACAATGAAAATTAATTTAGTGCACCAAACGTAAAATCTTTGCCAATATAACAGTATTATCAGCACACAGTCATGATTTAAGCAAAACATTTAATTTAGTAGAATAACATTACAGAAATTGAGTAATCTCGAATGTTTCGTTCACAAAAAATGATACTGTGTTCTAATCCTCTTGATCAACTTTATCCCCTTTATAATTATCCTCCTTGTGATTCGACATTCAATTCTCTTAGGTTTACCCCAATAAAATGATATTTTCGGTTATTTTACAGCCATATCTTGATATCGGGAGTTTTGATATAACGATATAAATTTACTGCTCCCTTGGCATATCTTTGTATCAGGGTTCCCCTGTTTTTGCCCCCCTCGCAGCCCCCCCCCCCCCCCCCCCCCCCACCAAGGGCAGGGCTTCAGGTAACTTACCTGCTCACTGAGGGACTCTTGTGTGAGGGGGGTACACTACAATGTATGTTCCCAGTCTGAATTTCAAAACCCATCATTTCTCATAATAAGGAGGAAGTCATGTTCCTATTGATCTTTTACTGTCATATTTCTGCTTTTCCTCATTGCTGTCCCAGTTTGAAGCCATCTTTGTGTCGTTGTTACCATTTCAGCTGTCTTATGTTGCTGTTTCATTTGCAATTTTATCATAACATAGCCTCGTCAGTATACCAGAGCTTCCAGTACCACAGGTTTCTTACTACTCAGTTTGCAGGAATTGAATGCCATACCTTTTTCTAATCAGATGTTGTCATCTTTTTTCTAGTGACTCGTATCCATACCCACCCACCCAAGATTACTCCTCCAGCCACAAGGGAACCCAGCGTCTGTTGAATTTGTGGAAGTTCAATCAGTTCTTCACTTCAGTCATACAGGACACAAGAGACAGCTAATACATACGAATACACATTAAGATAGTTAAAGCCACAAAATAAGCTGTTACTTGTCATTAAATGAAGATGTAACTATGATAATTTTCAATCTCTGAGGACATGATAGTCATATGAACATTGTTGTACAAGGAGGTAAATATCTGCTGCTCTTTTTTGATGTGAATAGTATTATTACTAATAATCATTTTAAAAGTGGAATAGCCAAAATCAAGTAGGCACCTTGGCAAATGACAGTTTGCCTCCAGCCAAAAAATCTCCATCCACTTGTTTGATGTACATTTTTTATTTGAGAGTTATCAGGTAATGACTCTGAACCCTAATAAAAGGACTGAATCTTTTTTTTCTCAGTGAGAAGTGGAAAAAATTGTTGTGTTGTCAGATATTTTGCACATAATATTATTGTAACACAAAGTAAAACACAAATTGTCTAGCAAGGTATAGCATCCTCCATACCAATAAACGGAAAATTTTGTCAAATCTGATATTCGTGATGCTTTTTTCACCATGATGCGGCAACGAGGTGTATACAAATCAAAATGCTAGAGGGATTCTCCACTCTGGGGTAGGGGGATTGACCTTAAATTCCCAACAACACAGGGTGCAAATGAATGCAAGGAAAACCATTGCAGATAAAGAATCAAGTAATGCAGCTGCGAAAAGAAAACTTTAAGAAACAAATCAGGCTTTCTGGGATTTAAACCCTGGTCTAAGCACCCACCCACCATAAAGCAACAGTTAGCTTGCGTTTAAACCTTGCCTCCACTCAAAAAGCCCAAGAAAGCTACCACTGGTCTCCCTGCAAAATGACGTCTGAGGAATGACCCCAGAAATTCCGTACTTTTCCGTAACGACACATCAATAACCAGATCTGAGTAGTGCTTCTGATTGGATGAAGCAAATTTTTAACCAATCCAAAGCACTGCGCAGATCTTCGAAGTGATGTGTCATTGGTATGGAATTCCTGTGGGCATTCCACAGATCATTTCACGAAAAAACCAGTGGTGGTATTGTGAAAAGCCAGCTGTTTTCTAAAGGCTAGTTTTCACTAGCGACGGAGTCATAAGAGCGCTTATGACCTAGTGAAAATCAAAAATCTGAGTCGTAAGCGGAGTCATAAGTGCGACAGAATCGGAGTCAGAAGAATCTGAACGCTTCCAAGAAAGGATGAACCAATCGCAATGCACGTTCCCACGCTTTGTGATTGGTTTGGTTCTTCTGCTTCTGCCTCGGACTCCGACAATCTGGTTTTCACTAGATCATAATAGCGGAACGTAAGCGACAAAGTCGTAAACAGAATCGGAATGCTGTTTTCACCAGATCATAAGCTCTACGCTTCTGATTACGTCTCCGACTGCGTCGCTAGTGAAAACCAGCCTTAAGGCAACCACTCAAGTTAATGATCTCGAATGTAAAGCTAGAAAAGATAACTGGTTGAGGCAAGCAAGTAAGTAAAGAAGTGGCAAACCTAGGAAACAAGAGCATGTCCATTGATGACAAAAACCAACACAAAGATTTAGGCACTGGATCTTAAAGAAATCGGTATTTATTGAATAAGGATATATTAATATTTCTTTTTACAATAATTTATTATATATTTGGCAATATGTTGTTATAATTATTCCAAATTAAATTATAAGATTAAGATCTAATCTGCTAAGTACCTAAGGCCGACTGTTTGAGTCATCAAGCAATGCTATCACAGCTTTTAACAAATTATGCAAAATTAATAATGTATTACATGACTTAAAACTTAGAAAAACATTCTGTAAAAATATTTAATGGGTAAAATTAAATACAAAATAGGCCCTAATAAATTCTTAAAATATTATTATTTAAAAATAAATACTTGTTCTTTCATAGGACTAGAACATCACTTTTAAGCAACATTAATGACAAAAAACTCCTGTTTGTAATGTCTTGACAGAAAAACTGACTTTACATGTAGCATCTTTTTCAAAGATGTGTACGAGTCAAACAGTTTTTCAATTAGAACATCAACTGTACAAAATAAGTGCTTTCGGGCCTTGCCAGCATTGCAGATGAACACTAAACATGGACAGCTGCCAAGCAGTGGCGAGATTCTTGTTCTGGAAGTTACCAGTAGTGCATTTCAAATTTCACTTTAGCCCCAGTGACCAATAATTTTTAACAATAGTTTTTGTGAAAGGCCAATGATGGCACACACTAAAAATCCTGGTACACAGCTGGGGACTCAGAACAAGGATTTCGGTGCTGGCTCGCAGAAAGACTTAACCAGAGGTTTAGTTTCATCTGGCAGTCTATGTTGGGCCAAACCTCAATTTAAATTTGAGAGACTTAAAACACAGCTTGTGATCAAAACTAATAGCTGATACTGACTTTGCGCAATTACAATATTTTTAATCTGATAACTTGAAGTGGCCTACACTCATTTTATAATTTTGCTTTCTTATGACTCTTTTGAAATTTTTGGATGGACTAGCCTCAGTTATTAACAATCACTGAGCTCCAAGTCCATCATTTCAAAAAGAGAAACATCATAATTTCAAAAAAAGAGCTAACTGCAACCTCACATAATTTGTAACACCCAATGTCTTCTTCAGGGCAAAATTCTCCATGGCAATGAGATACTTTCTGTCTGCTCCATTTTCTAAAGCAGATAACATACTCCTGTACATCCTATGTGATCAGTTGCACCCATTCACTGCACCCTTGTGAATGGCAGCTCTAAGCAGTCACTGGGTTATACTCTGACTGGTGTCCTACATTGTATTCAGTTGTACATGCAAATGATATGCTCTGTGGTAGTCTCAGTGCAAACCTATAATACAATGTTGCAATGTCAGTTTTGCTGCACACGGTACAGTAAAATTGTTAGGGTTGGGTTTTAAAAGAGAGTTCAAATAGTGGTAAAAAAAACACACACACACACACATTATAAACCTCATCAAAATTGGGCCAACCCCCACATCTAAACATTGTTTGCAGTAACATGGCCAGGAGATGCTATCAGCAAAGGATACATTAATGACTTTGTTCATACAGCTTGTAATACCCTTCATACTCACATTTGAAGGCTGCCATGTATGTTGTAAGTGACTAATCCTCTGCACACAGTACTGTAAAGGAAACATGGATTCAGGGTTTATTCTAGGTCGAATGAGTCAACAAGTCAGGCATTTGCAAGTTAGGTGTATGAGCTGTCTATTCATGTCTGTTGCAAGTGTACAAGGAAAAAGGTTACAGGGGGCATTTATGAGTGGTTGAGTTCTGAATATGTCAAACATCATTCAAGGGTGGATCAAGAACAATGAGATAGGGAGGAACATTAGGCCTAAGGTGAGCCACACCTCCACCCAAGGTTTTACCCAGAAGGGTGTCCAGCCATCCTACGAACACCCATTTTTGGAAGAAATACAAGGAAAATGCACCTAAATCTCTTAAAATTTTATGGGAAAACATGCCTTCTGGACTGCCAGACTTCAATGTCTGGCAATATGTTGTAACAATTATTACTTTGTTGGCGTATATGGTAAGTCTAGAACTTAAATGTTTTTCCTACCTCTACCTATAGCCAAAGGTAAATTACACATGTCTGAGCCAGAGGTACATATATCACTTGCTGCCTTGCACTCACCTTTAAGTATATATTCTGTCAACAATCCCGGAACAGTAGGGCTGTCAGCAAGAAGTGCATCCATAACTACAAACAATGTCATCATATCATCAGCTTGGGAGAGATTTTCACTTGTAGATAGCCATTCAATTCG